TGGGGTAGATGAGCAGTTCCCCCAGGGGCAGGAAGGGCGGCTGCCTTACCCACCTGACCTTGACCCTTGTGTGCTAGGGCAGAGCATGGGCCTTTTTTTGTCCATGGGATCCTGGTGCAGCCCTGGTGGAGGGCAGCAGTGGTCAGAGGGTGGAGATAGGAAGGAAGGGTGGGGAGTCCTAGAGTACTGGAGGTTGGAGAGGAGGGGACCAAGAGCCTACAATGGTAGGGAGGCAGTGAGAGGCTGGGCCACAGTGAGCAGAGGCCCTGAGCAGTTGGTGCATGCTCTGTCAGCCTTGGACAAAACGGAAATGTAAAGCAGAAACTTTAACGTGATGCCTGCTGAGAATGAAGGCCCAAGTTTGAGCTGTCAGGGTCCTTCCCCAGGAAACTGTACTGGTTGCAAATGGAAGAAGGTGGCTTCACCACCTTTTTTTTTTTTTTTTTTTTTAGAGGTTTTCGCTATAGAGCGCGTGCGCCCACCAGACAGACAGAGAAAGACCTAGAGACCGAAAGCGAGAAATCACCCCCCAGGGGGGATGGTCACGCCACAGTCCCTTCTCCTCCGTTCTCCTTTTGGGATCTTGGGCACGCACGCACAAGCGCCCGGCGTGAGTTTTAAGCCACCGGGTCCGGGACACGAACCGCGGTCGACCACATGGGAGTCCAGCGACATAGCCGCTACACTAATTGCTGGTTCCCGTGGCTTCATCACCTTTAAGCACTAGAAGTTTGAGAATACTACTCAACCTCTTTGAGCATCAATTTCTTTACCTACATAGCCATGGTGATAAATATCTCTCTGCAAGAGATGTTATATCAGTAGAGCATTTAAAACATTTCAAGTCCTCAGTGAAGAGCCTCTTTGCAAGCACTTTTAACCACTATGAAGTTCATAGATACACCTGCCTGCCTTTCTTTAGTATGACATATGCTTGGAACTTTATTCATTTAATTTTTTTGCCCAGTTCTATTGAGAGGCCTCCACTGTTTTGTGGTCCCTTTTGTGACCAATGGCAGGAGATTTTAGGCTCTGGCAGAGACTCACAGTACAGAATGTGTCTGCCCTGCACACACACACGCACACACAAATACATACAGACGTACACACAAATACATACAGACGTACACACAAACACGACACTGTCCTCCTTAACATTAAATGCTAATGTGAGTTTTTTAAAAGGATTTTGAAGAGACTAGGGTCCTTTGGCAGTGCTTCAAGATCCCATGAACAGAGATGGCAGTAGTATCCAGCTATTTCCATCTCACTATCTCCATCGGACCAAATAAACTTTCCTTTCATTCTAATTATATTTCACTGTCTAATATGGAATTTTGCTTGAAACCCAGAAAGGGTTCTTCTATTATTTAACAAAATAATGAAAGCATGCAAGCCAGCACTGTGCTCCATGGAGTGGTGAGACTGGGCTGTGAGACCTGCCATCTTTATTAGGTACTGAGTTGGGCTCATCTGGCCAGGTGGTTCCTTGCCAGGACTGTAGTGGCTGAGAGTGGGCCAATGGGTGGACTAGAACCTGGTCTTTGACATAAGGGTACTTTTCCCTTTGTTAGTAAGCATAGTCAATGTTGGCAATATGAATTTCAGATTCCTTTACTTCCTACCAAACTGTCTTCTTACTTAAACATAAGTGTAAGAGAAATTGAACTTTCTAGAAGAGCTGCTGCAAAGGGATTATTTTGACACTCCCTTGAGAACCACTGGGTTGAGAATCAGCATACCTGTGTTCAGTTCCTAGCCATCTTCAATAGTGTAAACTTGGCAAACTACAGAAGCCTTTTGAGCCTTCTTTCGCATCCATAAAGTGGGGACTCTCTATACTGTCTTTCCCCTGAGGTCTTTATAAAGCTCACATCACATATCTGAAAGTCCTCTTAGAAATTATTGGGTTGTCAGACATATAATACATCGTGACTTTTCTGACGACTCCATATAGAGCACTTTCCAGATAACTGAAAGATGTAAGGGTATGCTCTTGCATCCTTTGCCTGTCCTGAGATGAGTTCTATTCTTGGTGCCCTGATAGGAATAACTCATGTGGCAACATTTTCCTACCAATAGTCTTTCGGTGTTTTGTGATTTGCCGCCATTAAAGATTGCATAGAGATACCCCTGCCTGCATAAGTGAGGAAGAGAATGCATACACAGGTGCATGTATACCTCTGTTTAATTACCATCCTACAACTCACTGACATTGTCCTCTTTCCTTTCATGTAGTTATGCCATTGGACAAGGGTATGGTGGCACATGTTTAGCAACCATCTCTGTGAAATAAAATATTCATATATACACGTGCATAAGCTTATTATACATTTTATCAACATAAAGAATGTGTAGTACAAAGTGGGTAATAATTATAAGATATGCAATACTTTTATTATAAATTCCATGTAGCTGACTCCCACAGAAACATTTTTTTTTTTTTTGCAGCTGACGAAAGGAAGAGTGTAATTGCAACAGAAATCCTGGTTGGTATTTTCATTTTTGTTAAGGAATAAGATGAATGAATGAAGATGCATGTGGGAATCTCACTCCTGTGTCAACAATGTAAGCCATTTCTTCTCTCAATCAGAGAGTAACTTCTAAAATCTACAAGAATATTTCCTTAATTATTTTTTTTATTTTGTGTCTTTCACAATCTATAAACCTTAAACAGGACATATGATATTTAATCCATATGATTCATATGATAACATGATATTTAATCTATATCACTATTTTCCTCAACACTCTTAAATATAAATGATTATGAAACCATGAACCAAACCATGATTTATAGCATTTCTACATCTTCATGGTGTTAAGGCCCCACCAAAGCCACTTTTTTAAAGGATTATTTTATTTAATTGTATTCATTGTCATTATTATCATTTAATTTGACCAGAGAGAGACAGAGACAGAGAGAGAGGGAAAGTAAGAAAGCAAGCTGCCAGATCTCAGACTCGAACCACGGTCAGTCATGTGGGAGTCCAGTACACTTAACCACCGTGCCATCTGCTGGCCTCCACCACAGCCAATTTTCAGCTGGAAATGAGACATTACCAGGCCAGCGTAGGGAAGAGAAGCATGGTAGCCACCATTACAGAGCTCCCATGGAACCATGACAGATGTAAATAACCTCAAGGGGATAGGTAATAGGAAAACATTGTAAAAAGATAAGGAAGTGATGCTCATTATCTTTGTTTTCACTATTATTTACTTAATTGTAAGTTTATAGGATTTAACTTTTAATAGTGGCCATGTTTAACGATGGGCTTGCGAAACTCTTGTAAATTTAACAATCGGCTCCTGTGAGTGTGTACAAGCCGGCTCCTGCACACCACTGCATATTCGTTGTTCTTGTTCCTGTAAATCTGGAATTTTCCAGCATTCAAGGCAAGTTATTCCATAGTACATGTGCTGGATGCTGGAGATGCAGTAAGAGTTCCTGTCTCATGGAGCTAATGGCCATCTTCGGAAACAAATAAGCAGTGACACAGAGCAATGTTCTATGTGTGTGTTTATTATTTTCTGAGATAACAAAAATCCTAGTGGTATTAAAAATCCCATTTATACGCCCCCCCTTTTATTTATTTATTTATTTATTTATTTATTTATTTATTTATTTATTTATTTATTTTTCCCAGTTGCCATGTAGGCTTTGCTCTTGTGTCATGGCTTTCCAGTTTTCTGCTTAAAATCCTCTCTCTGAATGAAAATCTTGGGCAAAGGACCATGGAGCTAAGGACCATAAGGTGTGGTCTTGAAGCCGACGTTTGGAGCCTGCCCTATTAATGGGAGTGACACCTGCCCATTTGCGAAGAGAGGTCCTCCCAAGGCTTCAGAATTTGCGTAGATCCTAGTAATCCCCTCCCCTTCATCATCAGAACTCTTACCCTCTTACACAGGCAAGTGCCAATTCTGGACCCCAACAAAAAATAAATACAAAAAATAAAAAAATTTCAAAAGGCCCACTTACCCTTTGTGAAGAATAAAAGAGTGCATGTTGACAGGGCTTTCTCATTTTGTAGGTTCCTCCCATAGCAGGGACTGTCCTAGCAGTGGTTACACCTCTGACATGTGAAAAGACTTAGGATTCTGAGGGTGTTGGCCATTTCGTCCATAACCGGATGCGTGTCTGGGTACAGGTGCACATGTGCACATGGGTATGCACGCACAAAGCGTAAAAGGATCGCCTCGTGTATTCGCAGGTGGTTCATCAAGAGGACCGGGCAGCAAGTTCTCTGTCAACACGTGCAATATCTCCTGAAATGACTTGGGGAACTTTAATTATGTTAGAGCCTTATTTTCAGCTCCTGTTATCTTTTGAACTCCTGCGGGGTGGGGGATGGGTTGCCCCAACGCTGGGACTTTTTCTAAAGAGCCTTTGTCTTCCTGCCCAGGTATTAAGTTGGTGGCGCAACAGTCACAGGTACATTGGGTTCACTTCTCCCCACCCCTCCCCCCACCCCCAAGCGCCATCCTGGGTCTGAATGTGGGCCTGTGTTCTCCTGGCCCACCGTCCTCAGGCCTGCACGGGGGGACTGAAAGAGAATGGGCCACAGGAATGCACCCAGAACAGAGCCAAATTGTTCAAGCCGCGTGAAGAAGAAAGAAAAAGCGGGAGGGAGGGGCAGCGGGGAGGGCGAAGAAGAAAAGCTTTCCTTGTCGGTTCAATTTCTCTGGAGATATTTGGAGGATAACACAGTAATTTTTTAGGGGGGGGAAGGGGGAGCCAAAACGAGAGAGCTGTGTTTTATCGGCACAGTGGCCCATACAGAAGGTGACATTTGAGAGAACAATTGCCGGGTTGTTTGGCCACATTCGCCGCTATGAATGAGGCTTAAGAAAAGGTGTCTTTGGATTTGCTACTCATAGTCATCTTCATCATTCCTGCGCTCTCTCTCTCTTTCTCAGTTCCCTTATGAAATAAAGGCACACGGGTAATAAACAAAGCACTATAAAAGATCGGATTGAGGTGTTCTGTGGGCTCATTCGATGTCTGAGCCAGCATCCTGCACTCCAGCAGGATCTGCTTTCGGCATCAGAAGCTGCTTCGAGACAGAGGAATAGTGGAAGGGTTAGAGCAGACCCCTTACTTCCTTTCGACAGTCTTGCTGAACTTAAAAGTCCAAATCCTTGATCAGCTAAGCCTCACCTGAGGCCAAGGGACAGAGGAAAAGATGGCAGGGTAGAGACCCTTGGATTGGCTTATTTGGACTTTGGATTTTTCCCTGACTTTCTTGGTCAAGCCTCATGTCAGATCCAGGTGAGTAGCTGCCTGGGTTAAAAAGCTGTCTGTCAGTCGAATTTGACTTTCTTCAACTTGGACAAATGATTCAGCTGTGATCCTCATGGCTTCTCTTGTTTGCCTTGCTTTGGGCACTAGTCGTTGAGCGCAGCGTCCAAGCAGCCTCTTCTGGCTGCCTGCAGTGTGAGAAGCAGGCAGATCTCTGCAGAGGAATTGCATTGATGTGTAGGAATTGGGGCAGGGAGCTAGGTGAACTCTTGATTTGGGGGGATGATCGGCAACGGATGGAGAGAGGTACGAACGATTCTTCTAACAAGAAGCAAGTTTGTTGCCACGAGTCTTCTTGTTCCTGGTTGGGCCTCTATCAATTGCCCTTACCCCCTCTAAATTCTCCTTTACTCTCAATCTGCACAATTCTGCATAAGCAAACATGGGAGTTATTAGAGTATACAGGACATAGTGAGTAGGCAGTGGGCACCAGCTAGGGATCCAGTTTCGCACAGAGTGTTGGTATCCAGTGCCCTCGTCTAGAAAGTTCACCCACTACAGGAGCTACTGAACTGAGCTCTCACAGACTGACCTTTCAGTTGATGAGTGACTAAAGATGAAAGGGGGGACCCCAGGGTTTGGGGCCTCTGTGCTTCATCAGAGTTTATACATTCCTTTCGTTGTTTGTTTTTGTTTTTGCTGTAGAGTGTGTGTGCTTGTCAGAGAAAGACAGAGAGGAAAAGTGTGAAATTGCTCCCTGGGGGGATTGCCATACCATAATCCCCTCTACTCCATCCTCCTCTCGGGATCCTGGGCACTTTCCTGGTGTAACTTACAAGTCACCAGGTCTGGGACTTGAACCCCGCAGTTGGCCATGTGAGATCCAGCACTTTAACCTTCACGCCACCTGCTGGCCTGAGTCTGGCTATTTTTTTTTTTGGAGAGGTTTTCGCTATAGGGCGCGTGCGCTCGCGAGACAGACAGAGACATAGAGACAGAAAGCAAGAAATCACCCCCCAGGGGGGATGGTCACGCCACAATCCCTTCTCCTCCACTCTCCACTTGGGATCTTGGGCACGCATGCACACGCGCCCGGCGTGAGATTTAAGCCACCAGGTCCGAGACACGAACCGCAGTCGACTACGTGGGAGTCCAGCGACATAGCCACTACGCTAACTGCTGGTTCCCAGTCTGGCTATTCTTTGCTCTGATTTTAGTTCTCCTTTTTCGGGATCAAAATTACCATTCCAGGGAATATGATCTGTTATAGTAACAAACCTGAATGAAATGACAATCGGTAATCAGTTTTGTAGAGAACAGTTCAGGATTTAAATGGGTTTGTGCTGTGTTTGTACTTGAATGGAAATACTCAATTCAATTTAATAGACATACTTTAAAGGTTTGTGCGACATAGCCTGGAAAATGCCCATATTGCTTATGGACAGTGTAATTGTATCAGGTACTTAGTTCTGCGTGTCTCAAGGAAAGAGCTGTTCCAGCAGTTATGTATTTGCATCCATCTTTTTATTAGTGAATAATACTAAAAACTGGTCCGGTGTATATGTACATTCCATAAGATGTAGATTCTCTTATATTTATGCGATACATTTCATCACACTACTGTAAGTGCTTTCCAAATGACTATTTAATATTCTTATTTACCTCCATTTTGCCAGTAGAGAAACTAAGTCATCAGATATTTCAGTTATCTTCCAGATGTTGCGAAGGAAGTCTTTCTTGGGTTTAACTAAAATTCTGGATTTTCCAGATGACAAATAGACTGTGTGTGTGCATTTAAAAATACGCATTAGCACGTACGCCACGAGAGTTGTAAGCAAGAGTAGTGATACACTGCTCGTTCTGTTCAGTGGTGTGTGTATGAGTATAAAATATTGACAGTAACAATAGTAAGTCATTGTCACTAAGTCACTTAGGGTCTAGATCTCTCCACAGAGACCTTTCTGACAGGCTGCTGTGTGAGAAATGAGACCAAATGCTGCAGAGACAAGGTATTCGTTCGTAGGAGCGGGGTTTTATTTCATACCTCCTAAATGCATTTCAAAGACATGTATGCAGTTTAACGTATCTGGGTCTTCCCAGTAATGAACAGTAGATGCTGGAAAAGTTCCTCAACTTGCCATTGCATAGGAAATTGTCTCTTTATTTGCTCAGCATTTAAGCTTTCTCCCCCCGCCCCGAACCTGTATTTTCCAAGGGGCATGGGTTTCTATAAAAATACCTGGGCTTTCCATGTGACTGCTCTAAGAGAAACCTACCAAACATTTGGCTTTAATTGATGCCAGGAACATAGTAGGGATTCAACAATTATTGAATGATTGAAGGGCTGACCTGTAGGTATCGATTTAGGGCACTGTGCACCTCTGTGTCTATCTATACAATGTATATGTTCTCTTGGGTGAAGTATTTGGTTTTTTGATTCAATTGACAAATTCTTTTCATGTCTCATTGATCAGTGACTTAAATTCAATCAGTTGTTGGTTTTGGTGTCACATATATATATCCCAAACCTTTGTATCCCTCAACTTTCCTTCTTTGTCTATCTCCCATCATCACTGATAGTTAATCGACATATGCTGGGGACTCTCATATTAGACTTTCCTTTGTCTGAGATTATGATTTGAAATGTGCACGAAGTGAAACTCCACATCCACTGAGTCCTGGAACGTGGTTTAATTGATTTTCCTGTAACCGCTGAAGGGAGACCCAGAATGGCCAGCAGAGCTAGTGGCGGCACAGAGATCTAAAGAGCAGTGCTCATACGTGGTGAAAGGACGAGAAAGCACCTCATTGCTTGAGAGATCTGCCATGAGCACTAACCGCAAGTCACAAAATGCTGAGTTCTAACAAGCATTTGGGCCCAACAATGCTGGGTAAAACAGTTACCAGTGGCGTCTGGCCCCGGGCATCTGCCTTTTACAGACTTATGGGGGCATGGGGACCTGAGGCTCAGACACGTGCATTATTCACTGTTTCTTTCTCTGCTTATTAGCCTTGTGGGTGAGAGAGACATTAACTACTGGCCCAGCAGCCTTCGAGAACAACATGGCAAAATTCAGGAGAACACACAGTCTTGTGTTTGGGACTTTAAGAGACTCCTAGGTGACTTGGTGCTCAGGAGGATTTCAGAGCAGATTGGCTTATAGCCATTACTGTGGGCTAATAATTGCACTAATCTTTTTGAGGGGGGGTTTGTGTGCCCTTGTTCCCCCTTCCCACAACCCCCAAGCCAGAGAACAATAGGAGAATTGTATTTCTGCACTACTCCATGAGATGGGTCAGAGACAGCAACCGGGTGTACAGGGTCTTTGGTGAGTGACCCACCTGGAATTAGCCCCGAGTCAACATTAGGGGATCCAAGACCTAAGTATTACAGCTTTGGCCAAATGATAGGGAAAGCTTTCACTGGGTGAGTCACTGGAAGAGCAGCTGTCTCGGGGTTATCAGACCCGGCATTCTTTGGCGGGGGGTGGGGGGGCTCAGAAGCAAGTGCAATAGAGTGCAGAAATTGTCCTTGCCTACAGAGAGAGGAGAGAGGAGTGTGTGTATGCGTGTGTGTGCGTGCGTACCAGCGCATGCGTCCAGTACATTTTATCCTCTTTTCTCTTGTGTAAAATTCACTCAGCAAAACCATTCTGTTTTCTTCTGAGTAGATAATTACTAAACTAAAATTCGGAGTAGAAATGCCGAGTGGAGATGTCCCTGCAGAATAAATCACAAGCACGTGTATGCATGTGTGTGTGTGTGTGTGTGTGTGTGTGTGTCTGCAGGGGCAGGGGGACAGATTTATCTTCATTTGAAAGTTGTCACCTGTACGACAAGGAGTTTAAAATAATGCAAAAATGGAGGCTACAATGAGGATAGGCCCTCCAATACAGGAAGTGTTTTAAATGTTAAGTTGTGATGAGAATGCACCTAGTAATTTTGAAAGGCAGTGCTCAGAGAGTACTTATGCCTAGAAGGTTAGACGAAGAAGCTCAAGGGCTGTCAGCTCCACAGTGCAGATAAACCTCACAGGACGTCTGTCACCACCCGTACGAAGCTCCTATACTCTCTCTGAAAAGGGGCACACCATCATTTGAGGCATCCTGAGCCCAGAGTTGCCTTTTAGTGAATTCCCATGGCTAGTAGCTTAAATGTTAGGCATGGAGAAAGCTGAGTCCTCGCCAACTGTTTCAACCGGGATAGGTGCAGAGCCTTTGAGTTCTCCTCTGCCTCTGCTTCGGCATTCATTCCTGGTGCCTACTTCTGGGGTAAGGAAGTTCTGTGTCTTCCTCTGTCTGTTCTCTGTAAGCGGCTGCTGAACTCTGGTGTGGCTGGTGGAGGGAGCAGGCTGTCAGAGTGATTTGGCAGGACATTGCATGCTGGCACAGAGGGGCAGGGAAAACGTGAGGAGGTGAGGAGGTTTCCATGGGGTGGGAGTAGCGGCAGGCGGGCCCCCTCCCCCGCCACTGTTGGCTGATGCCCTTGGGGAGCTGCTGATCTAAACTGGATGGAGATACCAGCAAAGACACTGTGCCTCCCCTCTTGGACCCCAGGAGTTCGCCGGCCTGTGTTTTCCAACTCCTCACAAACATTTCCAAATTAAAAAAAATAATAATAATAAAAAAATATATGTGTGGAAAAATACAGTAAAAGTGACAGCGCCTTCCCAGTTTCCGACAGCTCTGTTTTGACTTCGCAATCAGCCAAACTGGAGCCCCTGAGTAGCTGGCTTAATTTGTCACCTTGAGTTATTAACCGTTTCCCTGCCTCTCTCAGTGGGTGTCCTCTGGCTCCTGGCCCTTGCTGGCATGGGGACCTGTTAATCCTGTGCCCTTTCTCTCCAGCTCAGGGCTCTGCCTGAAGAGCCTGGTTTCCTTCCTGGAGTCAAATTTGAATTCAATTCTCCGTCACCTCCCGGTTCAGTTGTTTTTTGCCAAGTAGTGGCTGAAACAGAAAGGTGATGGGTAAGGGCAGGAAAGAATAACTAGCGTCAACTCCTGCATGGTCCAGCGTGTCCTTGCAAAGTC